CTGTGAGTCTGTTTCTGTTTTGTAAAAAGTTCATTTATATCATATTTTAGATTCCACATATAAGTGGTATCATATGATATTTGTCTTTCTCTGTCTGGCTTACTTTACTTAGTATGATAATCTCTAGTCGATCTGTATTGCTGCAAATGGCAGTATTTCATTCTAAAAGGTTTTGATTTTTGATTATAATCTTTTCTGTTTACCAGCCCAATGGATTTGGGCAAATCACTTTACTTCTTTAAGATTCTATTTCCTCACCTGTAAAATGGGATCGATAACACCGTCCTCTGTTGCTACTCTGAGAAATAAAAGAGTTAATGTGTATGGTAAGGGCTCGCTGACATTGATATGCCACAAATATGTTATGGAGGAGGATATATCCCATGACATATGTGCAGCTTAATCGTATCTTTAGCTTAATCCTTAAAATAATAATGTCAGCATCAGCTAATGTTTTCTTGCTTTCTCTGCCAGGCTCTAGCCCGAGCCCTTCACATATACCTCATTTAGTCCTCAAAATCCTTGCAGAACCCCTCTGAGACAGGCACTTCCTGGAGGCCCAGCTAATTCTCAGTCCTACATCATCCTACTCACATATCGCACTTTGTAAAGATCTTCAAACCTGCAAACGCTGTTTTCCTTCAGACCATCTGTTACTGTCTTAAAACTTAAGGGACTAATATTTTGGAAGTAGGAGAGAATAGGAGAGAAGGAAGAAGACCTCTCCAAAGCTTAGATGCCTGAGAGTTCGGTGAAAATTTTGTAGTAGTATCCTCTAGTAGAGGATTTTGTGGTGGTATAAGGGGTTTCAGAATTCCCTCCCTCAGCAAATATTTTGTTCCTGCCTACTGCATGTAAGGCCCTGTTCTGTGCTGTGGGAATGCCACAGTCAACAAAATAGTCAGTCTGCCCCCATGGAGATGACAATCAAGAGCAAATATCTAGTCTTCCATAGTCTCTGTCACATTTTGGCACTTGGAAAAATGGCACTAAAACAGATGATGTGAATAAGAGCAAAAAAGACAAAGGGGGGGAAGTGGTAAAGAATGTACCTAATTGGCTTTGTACTAACATCCTTTGTATCCATCTATCAAAATTACTGCTTATTCACATTTGTATACTCATGTATGCACTGAAACAAAATCAATAAGTGGAAATAAAAACTGAATAGTAAGCATACATTTTTATATTTTCTTTCCCAAATGAAAATCGAAAGAGGAAAAAGAAGAAAGAGAAAGATGGGCTTAATTTTTAGAATAAGGGTTATGGTTTTTAATGTGCTTTATATTTTTAACGTCTACTGGGAAAATGCGTTCAACTGTGCTAAGAATTAGTCATTCTAGTTATATAAAAGCATGGAGAATTATCACATGTTAATTTCTGCTGACCTCTTTTATGTTAAACCATGTAAAGTACTTTTTTCAATTATGAAGCTGATTTGATTTTCTGAGTTTAGATCAGTAATGTATGAGCTGAATTGAAAACCAGATTATAAATCATTTCAGCATGACATTTGGATAAAATATAAAGATAATCTGCATTTATTTATGGTGTTCTGTCAGGGAAATTCATGAGAATTAGCTTTCTCATGACAGTTCTAATGATCATCATTTCTGACCAAATCAGAAATACTGTATTTCCACATGAAGGAAATTGGCTTAATATTTGATATCCTATTCCAATATTTAGGTGAAACCAAGGAGGGCAAAAAGGTATTACTACTATTTTCTAAATGGAGTAATTCCTTTCACATATAACACAGGAAGTGGCATAACCATGTACATTGCAGAGCAGTTGCTCACAAGCCCAGCTGCACACTACTGTTACTGGGGAGCTGTTTGAAAAATTCTGATGTCTGGGTCTCAACCCAGGCACATCAAATCGGAGCCTCTGGGAGTGGGACCAGGTGTCAGTATTTGTTCCAAACTTCCCCCCCCCCACCATCACCCCAGGTGATCCTCATGTCCAGTCAGGGCTGAGAACCACGAGAAAAGGCGTGGCCTCGAGAGCAAGGAAGTTAAGGCAAAGCTCTGGAGGGGCCCTGAGCATAAGTTGGTGATGTGAAGGGCAGGCCTCTCTGCCAAGATTCTGCAGGCATTACAGAAGTAAAGGTGAAAAGTTGCTAGAACTGAAGACCCAGACCAGTAGTGGGGATTTATAGGCTGTTCTTTGAACTGATTTTGTCTCGTAACCAGTGCTGAAAGTACCTCAGGATTCTCTTTGCTGTTGGGTGCTACTCTGTGGCAGAAGCGGTATTAGGAAGTGGAAAGAAGAAACCTATATAAGTGTGAGTCAGTATGTCTGTCCACTTACTAGAGTTATCTAGGTTTGTGACTCTTAAGTGTGAGAATCTGAGCAGTGATGACATTGTGATGTCACCTGGCGAGGCTAAAACTAAAACAGAAAGGATGCAATGGGGAATAATCTGTGGACACAGAAAACAGTTTTATAACACAAGAGTTCCTCTAGTTTTCATTTTAAAATCTACAAATAAGAGAGCTCAGCTAAGAAACAGATGACAATTCACAATTTTTGTGCATAAGAACTTTTGGGCCATTTTCTTCAGCAATTTACATGGTATTTTTTAGTTCTAAACTATTGTATGTTTACTACGTACATACTATTATATGTTTTTAAACATTGGGGTGGCATCTCTAGAACAGTAAATTTGTTTCTAAATATTGGCTGTAATCTTAATGAAACTGTCCATTAAATATACCACATTTTAACAGAGGTAATGTGTTATTTGTGAACTCCGTCCTCTCCTGTCCTTAATTTTCCTCCTGCACAATTGCTTAGTTAACTGAGTGTTGACTATAATTTTAGAAAGGCTTTGGTATTTTCAGAGAAGATACTTTGTTGAAGCATCTATTGGGATAAATAATAACTTCAGCTTCAGGTAGACGAATCTACCATTTATCATCTTTTTTTTTTTTGCGGTACACGGGCCTCTCACTGTTGTGGCCTCTCCCATTGCGGAGCGCAGGCTCCAGACGCGCAGGCTCAGCGGCCGCCATGGCTCACGGGCCCAGCCGCTTTGCGGCATGTGGGATCTTCCCGGACCGGGGCATGAACCCACGTCCCCTGCATCGGCAGGCGGACTCTCAACCACTGCGCCACCAGGGAAGCCCTATCATCTATTTTTGACATTAGTTAAAAAAAAAAAAAAAAAAGCAACTGACAATTTTAGTAAAAAGTCAAACTGAAATTTGCATCACAGTGAAAATTAAAATTTGTCATTCTTTCACTTTCTTTCAATTACATTGGCATTGTGTAGCCACAGTAACAACTTTCTATGTTAGACCTTACCCATTCAGTACTACAACATAATTGTTTTTCCCTTCCCTCTCCCTTATTCCTTCCTTTCTTTATTAACTTGAATATAGAAACCTTATGCTTCCACCTGGACCATCCTTGATCAAGGTTTGGGCTGCAGCAATATCCCCTTCCCATTCCAAGTAGACATTGCTAATCAACCCCAGCATTCTTTTACCAGACAGATCCTTAGTCGTATTCCTCTGTCTCATGCTCTTGGCGGGCACTACCAATAGGTGGGAGTTGACATTACTATTCTCCAAGAAAATTGGCCAAAAAAAGATTATCCATATACCATCGTAACAATGTTCCAGATCATGAGAATTGCCTGGGGTAATCAGGGCCTCACGTGGACCAACTAAATCAATCTCCAGACGGGGCTAGGAAACTTTCTTCAGTTTAGCTGTGTTGAAGGGTTGGTTTGTCCTGAACAACATTTTAAGAGAACGAACAAATGTTCATAAAATGTATGCACAAATATCTTTCCACACTCCTTAAAATATCTCTTACCCAGGAGACTTACTGCAAATAATTTCACTTTCTAATACTAACCCTCATCTATGAAGGTATTCTGAGTTTGCCCAGGAAGCATTATCTAGGGGGTCAAGGTTATAAGTGCTTGATGATTTAGAGTGTGGTCCCTATCAATGTATGAAAACTTGGTAGCAAAATTAAGTTAAAAAAAAAAGTTCCATGTCCCTATCCAGTCAAATTAATGCAAATATATTTATCTGCCTTTGTAACGGAACTGTCATGTGGCAATTGAAGTGGGTGGAAATAGCAAAAGGAATCTTAATATACTGCATCTTATTCTCCCCCAGAATCACTTACTTGAAATCACATTTAATACAGGATCCCAGCTACAAAGCAAATAAGTCACTTTAACAAAAAGAAAAATTACTGGGACGATCACTTTTTCTTGCACAGTTTAAAAGTATTGCCCGTGTGTAATATTTTATTTTTGGCTTTCTGGCTCTTCATGCCTTTGTGAAAGTGCCTATTGACGTTGTTTCTTTACTAAAATAATCCAGCTTTTCAAAGTCTTTTTTTCTTTGTTGAGAATGTCACAATCCACTAAATGTAAACCATAGGGCAGTTTGTTTTAAATACTGGCATTATTAGTATGCTAATTATACACAGCTGCTCTCCACATGCTCCATCATCACCTCCAGCTTCAATAAATTGTGACGTAAATGCTGAGGACCATATTGTAGTCCTTCTATTCTTAATGTCTCAGTACAAGAAACGTTTAAAAAAAGTGCTCTGGAAATGTTGCTTACATTGCTAGATAAATGACCAAAACAAAGATGACATTCTTTGCCAAGTATTACACAATGCAGTTGGACTTGTACAGCCAATTTTGTTTTAAACTGGTTTCCCCTCTCTTAGTCATGTTGGTTAGCTATCTCCTATATCAAGGCCATCTCTTCCTGGTGTTACCAGTCAGAGGGCATTTCTACAAACAAAAATCACCTGTGAGAGAACAATTATGTTGGCACAGATTAACTGACGGTTACCCCAACAATGTGCACCAAATGTTTGATGACAGGGAAGCAGGGAAAGGGGGCATTCCACAGACGGCGGAAGGAAGAAACACTGGGGATAAGCATGTGTGTTTGTTTGCTCTTGTAGAATAATATTGTTTTCAAGATAACTGATGATAAAATCATTTTCAAATGCTGTAGGTAGCCCTAATGGAGAACCTTGTGGAAAGACTTGTTTGGAAGAAAGAGACAATCAATGGTTGGGGGTCACGCTTTCCAGACAGCCAGGAGAAAATGGCTCCATCGTGGTAGGTTATTGAAATTAGTCCACTGATCCCATCGTGAAATCAGATACCCTGGGTGTGACTTTCACATCATATGGTCTACTTTTATGTTTTATTCAGACTTGTGGGCATAGATGGAAAAATATATTTTACATAAAGAATGAAAATAAGCTCCCCACGGGTGTTTGCTATGGAATGCCCCCTGATTTACGAACAGAGCTGAGTAAAAGAATAGCTCCATGCTATCAAGGTAAGGCATGGTTTTGATATTAACTGAATCAAGAGAAATAAGTGAATGCCTTTAAAAAGTTTTCTTCAGTTTTCAATTTTGGATGTTTGGTTTGGGGTGGGAGGATCTTTGAAATAGCTCTGTTTCCTTTAACTACTCAGTATTATTTCCTTTTTTACCCAATTGCAGTTGTTTTAATTTTCAAAAGTGTACTGTGTTTTTAGGACTAGGAATTCTACAATTTGAATAATTTTAACATCTAGTTGAGCATTACCACTTTAGCATTAAATATATTTTCTATTCAGTATAAGTGAGTCGAATGCCCAGCAAGTGCAGGACACTTAAAATCATGAAATAGATTGAAAAATATGATCAGAAGCAAGAAAATTGTTTAAGTTTCTTGCTTTACCTTTAGCTTCCAACAAGATTTAGAAATATCCAAAGTATAAATGTAAGCAGATCTTTCCCACTCACTGTCTTTCTTATTTCCCCAAATTTACTCGTTTTCCTTGAAATTGCAAGGGATTGGTAGCTTACGTTTGAAAGGTCTTTCCCATAAAAATTTTAGGTCATGGTTAGTGCATGCAGAGCTAGGACATAAAATGAAATGAGCAAAGTTAGAGGTAAATGTCAACAGAGTATTGAAAAAATGATACCTGCAACAGAACTAAAATTCTGAAAATGTGTCTTTGGAAAGAATAAAATATATATGAATGCCAAGTTCCAGTTTTTCTAACCAAAATGATTATCCCAGTGTCCAAAGGAAATTTCTATTACTTGACAAAACTTGGAGCAAGTATGCAAATTGAGTTGGTTTTATTAATATTGGAGTCTTTCCTCCCTGGAGTTTGATATAATAGAAAGGATTATATCGTCTATATTCCTAATTTGCCTTTGAATGCCAAGAAGATAAAAGGTGAATTTTAACTTTTCAGTTGCAGTAAAACTTACTCTAGCTATTATCCTCTTTTTCATAATAGCTTATGGTTTACACTTTAAAACATTTCACAGTACAGGCCTCTCTCCCTGGCTGTAGTGGCCTTCATGGTCATTTGGGGTCTTGCAGTCTCTCCATAATGTAAACCTGACCAGCCTGAGTCATAATCTTCAGTTCAGATGAGGTCTTTTCCCTTGTGAACTTGGTTCCCTTGAAAATCAAGTGCGCAAATGTTCAACAATAGGAATTAGCTGTATAGGCTGAAGGAAACCTGTCAAAGGACAGTCTAGTAGAGATGCAAGCTAAAGACACCCCTCAACTGCAGCACCCCTCCCCACCTAGCTGGCCCCATGTCTGGGGCTTTTAATTGCCCCAGCAACCACTTCTGACTATTCTACTAGTGTGAAGTGATGCATTTGACTGCTTAATGTTCTGCAACTCTTGTCCTACTGCTGGCTGGTCCCTTCACAAAATGCTGGTGCCTCCCTGGGTGTAGATTTCAGTCCTGTACATTTTCTTGTGTTCTCTGGGTGACTCTGTACATGGACATCCAATGTCCATAGATGACAATGTGCACCACCGCCAAATGTGTATATATATATATATATATATATATATACACACACACATATATATACACACACACATATATGTATGAATATATATATAAATAAATATATGTATAAATATATACCTAGCCACATTCTATGAAAAAACAAAACATGATGGCAGAAACCTAAGACACCTAAAATTATGGTAATATTTTTTAAGTAAAAGAATGTATATAGGACCAAAGAAGATATAAAAAGGAATGAAAAAGCATGACAGGGAGTGGTCATTATAAATGACAGCAATTTATTTAACATTTCTGGTTAGCAAAGCCAAAACGAAGATGTGGTCCTGTATCTGCATAGAGGTTTACTTATGTCAGTTCTTCAGGTAAAGCAAGTTTTGTGCCCCTAGTAAGTTTCACAAAGCAACCATTCATGGGGGCTTTGTAAGAAGAGACCCTCCATCTCCATGCAGATCTTGACTCTGATATTTTCAGCCAGGCAAAAATCTAGGAAGCCTATTTTAAATGGAAACCTGAACTGGGAGCCACAAATCCTACCTCTGTCTTAGATACTCACCTGACAACTTTTTGAGTGTATGCTGCATATTCTTCCCATGGAAAAGAGGCTGGGTAGATTTTCTATTGCTATTTCACAGGGATATTTTGAAGATCAACATGGAACATATTTATGACCTTAAATTTTACCACTTACTATTTTTTTTAAATAATACTGTAAAAGAGCTCTTAAAAGGTATACTTATAAGGATTTATAAATAAAATTATGCAGATTTTGTCTGTTTTAAAATGAAATCATGAATTGTTTTTCTACTTTATTTTAGATTATGTGAGAAAATTTGGAGAAAATTTTGCATCATGTCAAGCTGGAATATCTAGTTTTTACACAGAGGTAATTGTCCCAAAATAGCTGCTATGGATGTTTACATATAGAATTTTAATTTGCCTTAGAAGATTGATATTATGCTTTGAAGAAAAATTGTATAATACCCAAATAATATGTCTCTTAAATTTGAGTGTAATACAACTTAATTTTCACCACTCAATATTCGACATATGTATTGATAAAATATTAATATTTAGATGGCTGTGTCACACAAGACCAACTAAAAGTCTATACTAAAGAAGGTTACTTTTGTGAAGAATTTAATAGAAATCAAAAGTAGCTGTAGTTATTTGTTAATTTAAGCATTGAAAATATCTAGGTATGTTATATTTAGTTATTAAATTGGGGGGGGAGGAAGTGTATGAGTTAACACTTTTCATTAGAAGTGTGAGAACTGGGAGATTTAAGAACTTAATAATATCCTCTTAAATGAGATATGGTCCCAAACTCTATTATTCTTTTTCTAACACTATCACATACACAATGAAAGATCACAATTGTACTCAACTCCTAAATCTCCCAGTTTCTCTCAACAACCCATTATGAAGTTATGAATGTTTTCTAAATCTTTGTAGACAGTTTGTATCAAGCCTTGGGTTAACAATTTCCTTAAATATTGCCTAGTATGGAAAAATAATAATGCTTGCTTTCTTTATATTTAAATTGACCTTTTTTTTTTTCAAAGTTTGGATTGTTTAGGAAATTTAGAAATGTTACATAGCTTTAACTGTTGAAAAGTTTTCATATTTCACCAGACAAGTGTCTGCTCTTTCCTTTCTTCTAAATTCCTACGTTTATCATCAAGTATGCCCCAATTTCATTTGAGTTGTTTTTTATTCCAAGCTAACATTATTAAGGAACCTATTCATTAGCTTTTTGCAAATTGAAATAAGTCCATTTTTTACTCTTTGGCAACACACAATTATCTCTGTAATGAGCAGTAATGAATTACCCAGATAGGGTTTACTTTAATAGAAAACCACATTGCCTTTCTCCTCAAAGCTTACTCTAGTGTTCAGTGATTCTACCTTTGATTTTAAAGTCCGCTGATGAGCATGAAGTGAGAGTTTCAGCGTTTCTTCTCTGAAATTCTCATTTTAGGTGAAAATTCATTAGCTAGCTTCTCTGGCTTTTTTGATGTGTTTTTAAACTCATAAAATGCTTACATTTCAGAAATTTATAAAAATGTATTTTTGTCACTATTTACTTAAAGTGTGTATCTGGAGGAGGTTTTGAGTGGTGAGATTAAACTTTTAAATGATGATACTTTTTTTTTTTCTTACAGGACTTAATTGTGATGGGAGCTCCAGGATCATCCTATTGGACCGGCTCTCTTTTCGTCTACAATATAACTACAAATAAATACAAAGCTTTTTTAGACAAACACAATCAAGTGAAATTCGGAAGTTATTTAGGTACTATAAAAATGGACAAACTCGAATTATCTCTGCCTTACAGATACTAGTAATTACAAATAAGGGAAATTGTATCTTCCAAAGATCAAAATGGGGCTTCCCTGGTGGCGCAGTGGTTGAGAGTCCGCCTGCTGGTGCAGGGGACACAGGTTCGTGCCCTGGTCCGGGAAGATCCCACATGCCGTGGAGCGGCTGGGCCCGTGAGCCATGGCCACTGAGCCTGCGCGTCCGGAGCCTGTTCTCCGCAACAGAAGAGGCCACAACAGTGAGAGGCCTACGTACCGCAAAAAAAAAAAAAAAAAAGATCAAAATGGCCAGTAGTAATTAAAAAGTCATTTCAGAAACTCCCTTTTTAAGGATATAGTCTCTGAAACTTCAGTTAATATTTTACGTATGTAACTGTTATCATCAATATATAATTCTTAGATTGGAACTCCTGGTTTAGCTTCCTCTTTTGCAGTAAATCACTTATAAGCTTATATCTTTATGCAGTCAACTTGTTATTATAAAGATAGCATCTACTGAGTGCCTGTCATATCCTAGGAACTTTTGTAAGCACTCTACATGAAATAACTCATTTAATCATGAATGGATGAGTAAGTATAGTTTCTTCAAGGACCAACTGAAAGTCAGTGGGACTGCAGACAGCATCCTAGACAATGGGTAACATTATGAAGAATATGGGTCTAAAAACGGCCCATTGACCTTTGCCTCATAAGTTCTTAGAATATTTCCCAGAGCACAACTATTTTTATCATTCTTATTGTAATTATTTCTGAGTATAGGCTCTTCACATTTGAAGTGAACCCCCCCATTCATACAGAAGGAATTTATTTTAAAATGGAGGGAATCCATTTACAGTTCAGCATTTACTTGTTTATGGTTGAAGGATATCTTGAAACATTATTTTAAAAATGTAACTTAGTATTGTGCCTTTTATCACATAATAAAATAAGAATATTTTACCTTTTGTGTAATCATACAGTTTTATCACAATAGGAAGGTTTCAGGGCAGGAAAAGTTGAAGTTTAAGAAGACTTCTTTCTTTTACTTAAAGTTCAAAATGTTATATTTTATATACGCTAAAATATTTCTGTTGTAATCTTAGAAACTACCATGTCCTAATATACAGAGACTAACAAACCACATGTAAAGGTGCTATCTTTAGTTTCTAAGACTTAAACATATAAGCCATATTAACACACAGATTAATAATTGCTTAAAGCATATAAAAACCAATTTTGAGTATTGCTATTCTAAACATTCTTAAAACTCTATTTACTGTAGTCATTTTGAATTCAGTCTCATTTAATTATGAATGGATTTATGATCCATTCTATAAGTGGGTTTATGATAATGAATTTTACCCATTGCGAATGATTCTCATACTTGTCTCCATTTTCTTGAAGGATACTCAGTTGGAGCCGGTCATTTTCGGAGTCGGCACACTACCGAAGTAGTTGGAGGAGCCCCTCAACATGAACAGATTGGTAAAGTAAGAGTTACATTTTTATATTTATTTCTTCTAAAAGGTTCATATGGATTGCATGAGAGAATAAGATATTACAGGAGGAACTGCAGAAATTCTAAGCAATGAAGCTGGAAATGATGAGAAGTATGCTGCATTTAGTGGTAAAGCGGGTGAAAGTCGTATGGCTTTTATATAAAATTGAGCAGGAAAGCTTTCCGGAAGACTACGTAAATCAAATGAGTAATTGTTTCTGAGATAGAATTGTCTCAAGATGTCCAAGGAATACATTTATTGGTTAATAAGTTTATAGCTGAAGGCAAATCAAGGCAGCTACATTCCTGGTACAATTGTGGTAGGACCAGAAAGAACAAAATGTTATTTCTCGTTCTAGTTTTTGTTACATTGCTGCATGAACATTGCTTTGAAGATTGAGACAAACAACATTTTCTTTTCTTTTAATTGGAGTATAATTGCTTTACAATGTTGTGTTAGTTTCTGCTGTACAAGGAAGTGAAGCAGCTATATGTATTTTCTGTGCTCTCTAAGGAAACAGTAAGATTGTTCCTGAGAAGGTAGTTTTTCAAGGAAGGCATCTTAATTTGAACTTGGTTCCCTAAACCTTTTGTATCACTCTGAAAATGATTTTTCAAAAATATATTTGAGCAATTACAAGTTATGAACATTAATGTTTTCATTGACTGAAACATTTTGAATGTGATAGCAGTCTGACCTTTCCAAATTCTTTTCCCCATTGCAGGCATACATATTCAGCATTGATGCAAAAGAACTAAATATCTTACATGAAATGAAAGGTAAAAAGGTAATATGTCTCTACCTTTGGTGTCACTGAGGGCTTTGGTGAGTAATTCTGCTTTTTTCTCAATGACTGGATCTGGTTTGCCTTGGAGCAGCTTGGGTCTTATTTCGGAGCTTCTATCTGTGCGGTGGACCTCAACGCAGATGGCTTCTCAGACCTACTTGTGGGAGCTCCCGTGCAGAGCACCGTCAGGGAGGAAGGAAGAGTGTTTGTATACATCAACTCTGGCACTGTAAGTCTGATTGGCTGCAAGTTGGAAGCCATGTGTGAGATTTTGATTGAAACTGATGCTTTTCTTATTCCAAAGTTCTGAGACTATAGATTTTTAGGCTTATTTTACTGATGAAAGTAAAAATTGTGGTATTGTACTGATGCTTTAGAAATGAAATGGAATATGATGATGAATGGGCCACTGTCCCTTTTTTTTTTCTTAATTTTATTTATTTATTTATTTTTAGCTGTGTTGGGTCTTCGTTGCTGCACGCGGACTTTCTCTAGTTGCAGCGAGCGGGGGCTACTCTTCGTTGCGGTGTGCGGGCTTCTCATTGCAGTGGCTTCTCTCATTGTGGCTCACGGGCTCTAGAGCACAGGCTCAGTAGTTGTGGCACATGAGCTTAGTTGCTCCGCGGCATGTGGGATCTTCCTGGACTAGGGATCGAACCCGTTTCCCCTGCATTGGCAGGCGGATTCTCAACCACCGTGCCACCGGGGAAGCCCCACTGTCCCATTTTGATATCTCGAAAGTATGAGATCAATTGTCTGGAGTTTCTCTATGCACAGCTTGTATGTGTTCACTCAAGTAGTTGAAGTTTCTTCCAGTTTTATTATGATGCAACTCTAATTCGAAAGAATGATTTTTATATAGCCCTAAAAATGTGAATGTCCTATTGGTTTGATGGTGAATGTCCCTATGTAATTTGGTAATTATAAAACACTACTAGAGGGCTTCCCTGGTGGCGCAGTGGTTGGGAGTCCGCCTGCCGATGCAGGGGACACGGGTTCGTGCCCCGGTCCAGGAGGATCCCACGTGCCGCGGAGCCGCTAGGCCCGTGAGCCATGGCCGCTGAGCCTGCGCGTCTGGAGCCTGTGCTCCGCAACGGGAGAGGCCACAACAGTGAGAGGCCCGCGTGCTGCAAAAAAAACCCCCCCAAAAACAAAAAACACTACTAGAAGTAGAAGATAAAGTATGAAATGTTTTTAATTTCTTGATTTGAAAACAATTGGAAACAAGATATGTTTTGATAAGATGTCAATTTGCACAATTTATATAGATTATATTCCTGATAAGAGTGTAAAATTGCCACAGTTTATTCCGAAGTAGATACAGTAGTTGTAGAAATAGGTGTTTACTTGCTTATGGTTGAGTTTTCAATTCTGGGGGGGTATTTTGGAATAGAAACTGACCACTTGACAATTCAATTTAAAGAGTTCTGCTGGGCTTATCTTGACAGTCTATCTTCCTGGCATCAAATCAAAAGAAATAATTGATAGGGCCTTAATGGGGTTTTCTTGGCCTGTTTCCTTGATTTAAGAACAAGAACAGGTTTGTGAGAAAATTGGTTCATTTCTTAAGTCACAGCATTTTCATTTAGGATTTAACAAAGTAAAATCTGTTTCCAGAAGGTATTTTTTTTTAATCGGTTGTTTCAGAGCATTTAGTAAGTATTTACATTAAGCACCAGGCTAAACTCTTTACAATTTGAGAAAATACTCAGTCTTACGAAGCTGGGAGATTCTTAATGTTCCAAATATAGAGCAGGGAAGTTATTCTCGTGCTGGGATTTCCTAGACTGTTTAAACCTTAATTTTAATAGTAAAAGCGTATCGTCTATGAAGTGATCATTCATATCTCATTAGTAGTGAAATCAGGCATTACTCTGTCTTATATAGATATTTCACATTTTCCTATCCATAAATGGTCTTCCTTATGCTAGCTGCGTACTTTTCTTTCTCTTAACTAAAGTTTTTGAGAACAGTTTAAACAGTAGCATATACACCTAAAGTAAGGCAATAATAGAAACGTTTTCCCCACTGAAATCTTAAACAATCCCAATATGAAAAACAGATGAAAGTGAATTGCCTTTGCTTAGAGGGCAAGGGAGGAGACCTACCCACTCGACTGTCCTCTTGTTCACCCCTCACTTCTACATCACTCAAGAGAGGGCATCGCTGTTGAACACTGGGGTTAATTTTATAGTTGATTTCAGCTTTTAAAACCTCTTGCGTAAGTTATTCTTCTTTTGTTGCCTTCCAACTTCCTGTTTCTTAACTTTAAAAAGACACTAACCACTACCTGACATTATATTATATATTTATCTGTTTGGTTTGCTGGTGTTTGTCGGTTTTCCCGTTGGCATGTAGACACCGTGTGGAGAGAAATCATCTGTTTTATTTACTACTGTTTCCTCAGGGCTTGAAAGAGTCCTGGACAAGGTGGTGCTCAGTAATTGTTTCTGAATGAACTCAAGAAAGAATGATGCTTGAATGAATCTGGCTTCCACCTACTTCTGCTAAAATAGCTCTCAGGGGTCCCCAGTGAACTCTTGGTCACCATTCTGTGCCTGGAGAATACTTGAAGAATAGTGATCACCACTTCTTGAAACTCTCCCCCTGGAACTTCAGTGCCTTTGTGTTTTTTTAGGTCTGCACCTTCTCGTCCTCGCCTCTTCTGCTTTCTGCTCTTTAAATTAGGCATTTCTCTAGGAGCAAAACAAGTATAGGAATTTTTTAGTTGGAAAATAAAAGACGAAGGGCACTTCACAAGGGGAAGAACGTGTGTGCTATGGGAATGAACAGACTTGTTTAAGAGGGAAGGATCTATGATGAGTAGTGCATGGGGTTTGTTTTTGGTTTTGTTTTTAATACAAGGGAGTGACATGATCAGAGTTTGGAAAGAGGTCTGGCAGCTGTTACTGCAACAGCTCCTGTTGAAACATTACTGAGTGTCTAATTGTAATAACTCATCTTCCAACTTCAGAGACAACAGTTGACCAATCTTCAGTGCTGCTGGAAAAATATCACCAAGGCCAGCTTCAGTCATGTCACTCCTCAACTCAGAAACCTTCAGTGGCTCTGTCTTGTTTTCCAAATTGAGAGTAAATTTCTCCCAGCCTTCAAAGTCCCACCCCATAAGACTGCAGTCTGACTTTTTTCGGCCTCATTCATTGCACATACTGTTGATTATAGCCAAATTCTTTGCAATTTGTGTTTTGCTGATTATTTTCTCTGTATATCAAAACTTTGCCCATCCTTCAGTAGCCACCTTCCGTAGCCACCTTGACCGCTACCTCCTTTTTTGAAATCAATATCGCAACATTGCAATATTGTCAAAATTGCAAAGCAGTCTGTACTTCTAAGTCATTTACATGCTCGGACTATGCCTTTTCTGTAACTGGGGGCTTCTTCAGGAAAGGGAGTGTCTTATACACACACTGCCTTGTCCCCTTTCACCCATTCAGTCTTTGCACAGTGCATTGCCTTTACTAGGAACTCATTAAATATTTGCTAAATTGAATTATCAAAATGATTTATTGGATTTTCAAAGCTAGGGATCATGAGTTTGACAATTTTTTTGTGTCCTCTGAGCTCTAATCATACTATTATATGTGTTGACATACTTGACAAATATTTATTGAATTGAACTGAGATGTGTGTACTAAAGCTCAGGCTATAGTTTGTCCAACCTGTTTGAAGCATTAAGAAAAAAATCCATACCCAATTACAACAGTAAATCATGTGTAAAGTTGTGTTATAATGATACCTTTCTCCCCCTTTCTATCTAGGGAGCAGTAATGAATGAAATGGAAATAGAGCTCATTGGAAGTGACAAATATGCTGCAAGATTTGGGGAATCTATAGTCAATCTTGGCGACATTGATAATGATGGCTTTGAAGGTAATTAAAAGTATCCAATTTGGTACATGATTTCCACTTGTAAGTGGCACATGGAAAAGAATATAATTGGAGTTTTATGTTGTTTGCCTTTCTATAGAAAATGGAGGCAGACTGGTATGCTAAGTTTTTTTTCTTTAGTGTTATCCCTGATTTCTTCTCAGTTGCCAGCTATTGATCCTTACTACTGTTAATAAAGAATGATATTCAACATACCTTATTTCATTGCTTCTAAGGCACCATTGATTATAAGTTGTTTTATTATAAGTCATTATTTTGTGCCCCTGAAAAAATGGTGCCTCTTAAACTGCGACTCACTTTTTTTCTATTTTAAGAAGGACCCTGATTTCAGGAATGTGAAAATGTGGGGAAAAAATGTGCATCATAGACTCACTGGATAACAGTATTTAACTATCAGTGTAGTAAAGACACTGACAAAACCCAACAGAGGCTGGCCACAGAGCCGGAGCCGGGCTCTGAAAGCCCCCTTGCTGTGCCAGGCTTTCCTTGTTCAGCTGCCCTATTGTGGGAAGATTTGGGGATCCCAGGAGAGAGTCCTGAGCGGTGGTAAGGGGGCAACTGGCAGACTCCAGGACAGTGGATATTTACCACTCGATATAGGGGTGCGTTTCAGTAATGGAATAGATGGTCATCATCAGAACTGTGACTGTTGCCTAGATATCAGTCCTGCTGCTGAACTATCTGTCTCTACCAGCCTTCCCTCTTAAAATTTGCTTTTTGTTCAGTCTAGTTCTAAGTGGTAACTATGTCTATTAAAACTGTGCCTAAAATGGTGAATGGGTTTGAAGGGAGAGTGTATAATTCCTCGAGTTCAGCAAATAAGTATTCGATATTTTCAGGGCTCAGAATTGTCTTCTAGATATGGTCATTGGCAATTGGTATATGGTAGAAGTAGGTCAAAATTTACTTGGATACTGGACATAAGTGAGGGAGTACTGTAAATTCTCACTTTTTTAATATCTTCTTATGCCTAAATGCTTCATTCTACTTTCAATGTATAAAATGTTATTCTACAAGGAGCAAGCTAGGTGGTTATTGAATATATGCTTCCAGTGAGCCCTCTTGAATGTAAGATAGTGCAATTTGGTATACAAATATTACCATTTCTGGATTTATTTTTACTATTTTCAAAACAAAAGGAGATAAAAAGTATACATATATATTTCTATGGTTATGATTACACATAAAATTTTACATTAAAATATCTAAAAAATGTTATTATGATGTTACATTTCACAAGTAATCAGCAATTCTGTGATATTTATTGAGGACTTATTTTTTGTCAGTTGTACCATGCCAGGTATAGAGTATGTGCCATAATGAATGTAAATGAAGGAAATAGTGGCACTCCGTTTTATAGTTTTGCAATCAAGTGGAATATAAGATTAAGACATGAAAAAATAAACATTATATACGTGGTAAATTTAGACCCAACCTAATAAATATCTGTGAAAAAAAACATGGTTTTGCACCTTGATATTTCATATATATTATATAAAATAGTAAAATTCTTTCTTTTAAAAACAAAATCATCATTTAGTAAAATACTTATTTTGTTTACTTATAATTCCTTCCACATCCTCTTTTAATTGACACATCCAGGGAAGAGTATTCACTATCTTGAATGTATTAAAATATTTGAGAATGATTTTTCATTTCTCATGTGCACATACACAGATGGTTGTTGCATATGACAGGATTTCCTTCTTTTTTATGGCTGAATAGCATTTCTGCTTTGCCCATGGCTATGTGTTTTCTACATTTTAGGTATTAGCCAAGACCATGCTGATTTGGAAGTAGGCTCAGTGTGTTCTAGCTCTTCACTGAGGTCTTTAATTCCACCGTCTCACTCTATCTGCCTGGGTGAGCCAGCAGGGCATCTGTGTTTAATTTTTCATTATGTGATTCCCTATTCTTTTTCCCCATCTTCTAACTTAGTTTGTTTTGCTGGGATATGAGTGAAGTTACTTCACGTTCATGGCAGTGTGTGGGATTGTGTAGAAAAGAGATGAGAAACCCACCTGTTCTTTTTCCTTCCTTCTCCAGTCTTAGATGCAAATCAGACTTAATGTCCTTTTACTATGCACAGCTTTGTGGTGCTTTGCATAGTAGACCTCAGTAATTTTGGCATCCACGACATCATTTTTTTATTGTTCTTCAAAAGAAAAAAATTAGAATATATTTCCTGTGTCCTTAGAAAAGCAAAACAAGCCATTTTCTAAGAAGATAACCAATCAATTTGGCAAGAGTCCAGCATAAAAATTTCATCAAAAGTATGAGAAAGTTAAATAGGTAATAGACAAACCTATTCAACCAATGTGACCAGACAGACAGATGATAGCATTTTAGCCATAAAATGCTTTTGGCAAGACCACTTATTTTTGGTTTTTTATGTTGAGCCCTGTCATCTGACTTTTAGACTATATGTTTGAATACTTCTTTGAGCAGAACCATAATAAAGTTCTGCAGCTGTAAACTATATTATTTTATGTGCTCCTGAAATGCTTATATATTATCAAATCATATATTGAGCACTTCTTTCACACAGAAGAGGAACATGTGCTAAGAGGGGAGAATGTTGGTCACAACTTTATTGTTGATGATTTTATAGAACATGGTGATGGAGAGCAAAGGTTGTGGAGCCAGCCTGCGGGGTTTAAATCCCAACCCTACCACATCCTGGCTCGGTGACCTTGAGTGAGTTACACTCTGTGCCTCAGTTTCCTCATCTATAAAAAGTGAGGGTCAAAAAGGATTTGGTAGAGCTGTTGTGAGAGTTACGCGGGTTACAGTGGGTTATGTGAGAATAACATGAATAACGTATGTAAAGCCTCTAGTGCAATGCCTGCATTGTAAACAGTACATAAATACTAGCTGATGTTAAGATGATTATGATCATACTCATGATAATTGTTATGGTTCATACTAACAGTGAAGTAAGTGTTCAAATGGAAAGTAAAAACAGTTGTCAGATATCTCTGTTTATTCTCTATGTTTTGTCCCAATGGTGTTGCATAGGCATGGAAAAACATTATTATTAATAACATGTATTCTCCTTATTTCTGTAATGATAGCTAGAACTTTAGGATATTATATAATAGATCCAAGTGTCATCTTAGGAAGTAAGAGTTTGGGTCTATATATAAGATAATAGCCAAAGACCAAATATACTTCAGTATCTTCTGCTTGGAATTAAATTGATCTGGGCCTTCTTAATAGTTCAGTACTGTATGTACTTTGTATTTATAGCACTTAAGCAAACATGTTATTCATAGTTTCTATTTTCTCTTGGTTTTCTTATGTGAAAACATACCCTTAACAGATACTTTAATTACTTTCACTGGAACAGGCATTAATTCATTTTGCAAATAAAGTAAAACCTAGAGCTCAAAATAAGGGTTCTTGTGGTTATAGTATTTACAGATGATAATAACTTATTATGTGCTACACACTGCTCTAAGCACTTCACATGAGTTACATCTTTCTATGCCGAGGATGAGTTCTCTTACAATCCTGTGCTGAGGTGAGGGAACTGAGATACAGAGAGGTTAAGAAATGGGCCCAGCATAGCACAGCTGGGCACGAGGGCAGTGCTGGGGTCAGGCCTGGCCATCTGGCTGTAGGACCTGTGTCCTTAACCACTCTGTTAGCCTGTCTCTAAGACCCTAAGACTCTAAGCTTCTTCCACACACAGACTTATCTGTACAATCCACTACATTGTTATGACAGTAACAGTATTTTATAATTTTTTTCTGTCCAGTGAGAAAAGTGTCTTTGTTTTGTTTTTTGATTTTGCGGTACGCGGGCCTCTCACTGTTGTGGCCTCTCCCGTTGCGGAGCACAGGCTCTGGACGTGCAGGCTCAGCGGCCATGGCTCACGGGCCCAGCCGCTCCGCGGCATGTGGGATTTTCTCGGACCGGGGCACGAACCCGTGTCCCCTGCCTCGGCAGGCGGACTCTCAACCACTGCGCCACCAGGGAAGCCCAGAAAAGTGTTTTTTGATAAGGAGTTTTCTTATGTGATATTAATTAAAGAGCATGAAGGTTAGTTTTCAGAGTTGCATTCTTTGCATTAAGAATTTATTTTCTGTCATTTAAATTCTTGAATAGATGTTGCTATTGGAGCTCCACAGGAAGATGACTTGCGAGGTGCTATTTATATTTACAATGGCCGAGCAGATGGGATCTCGTCAGCCTTCTCACAGGTAGGACAATACTATTCCATTAATACTTTCAAAAGAAGCATTGGTAATAAAATCCTTCTTAAAACTTCCAGCGTTAATGTGGACTTGTTTTTTTTAAATTTGGTCTTTCAAATACTTAATACTGTTTCACCATTTTCTTATAATAACAGTAGATGGCCTCATTTTTAAGGTCATTAATAACTTTGAAACCATTTTTTTTCCATAAATAAGAGTTCTGGTTCACTTCCATTCTAGCTTGTTTTTTTTTTTTTTTTTTTCTTCATATGTTATTTCACATTTGGTGAGAATATATCTGAAGGTTAAATTTAAAGTCCTAGAAGTGGAATTACTGATTTAAAGAGTGCTTTTATAATTTTGAAAGACATTGCCACATTATACTGGTCAGAAGTTGTGTCAATATACTCCACTTTCTGTGGAGAAAGTATATTAAAACATACAATTTTAAGGGAAAAAAAGTAAAATGTAATATTAGACTTTTTTTTTTTTTTTCCTTGCGTTATGGGGGCCTCTCACTGTTGTGGCCTCTCCCATTTGCGGAGCACAGGCTCCGGACGCGCAGGCTCAGTGGCCATGGCTCACGGGCCCAGCCGCTCCGCGGCATGTGGGATCTTCCCGAAACGGGGCACGAACCCGCGTCTCCTGCCTCGGCAGGCGGACTCTCAAGCACTGCGCCACCAGGGAAGCCCTCTAGCTTGTTTTTAACCTGTTAAAGACATTCTCTCTGCATTTCATCAAATTTATGTTCTGAGGTAATACCCATACTATTCCAGATAAGCCCACTTGGATTTGATTAACTGTGTCTTGCCCTATGGCTAAAGCCCCATGTTCCATGGAGATTGCACAGGGAGAGCAAAGACTCATGTGATACTCTTGTGCTCCTTATAGTGCAGAGAGTAAGATGAGAGCGCTTTAATAAAGTTCCCTGATCTAACTCTGACTTTACTTTCACATTTTGAAAAATCAGGGCATTTCATTGCATAGAAAAAAACTACATACACATGCGGAGAAGAGAAGTTTTTCCAAAGGTACTCTTACGGAAACATTAGCTAATACTGTTATTTTTGATTAGGCAAAAATAGGTAAATTGTCCTCTATATAACATGAAAGATATATACTTGTCTAGTAAAGAATACTGATTCTCTTAAAATGGACAACCCTGATACTTATAAATCAGTATCTGGACGTGAAATTAAACACATGGGATAGGAAGCACATATCAGACTTGAGTTGTCCTTGTCAAATACTAGGAAGCAATCTGGCTAAAATGAGGTGGTTATTATAAACCTAAGTAGTAGGCTCCACTAAGTGATCATAGATGTCTTATTTTATTGTAATTTGTTTGGTTACTCATGTTGCTCAGGGAAATAAACACAGAGCCTGAAAAAAGACTGGGGAGAGAGTGTCAGGACTGTTTTAGGAGATCTTTACTACATAATTTTCCCTTTGCTCACAAAGAAAAGAAAGTGATTTTTTTCTTGTCACAAAATAGATGTCAACTTCCCACTTCAAGCTGGAAACTACTCTTTCTCTTAGACACATGTATTTGACTTAACTACAATGCACTTGTTAATAATGTGCCAGGGCATGTACCAGGACTCATTATTTAACTAAATCATTGTTTCTCTGGGATATTATTAGGTGTTCAAATCCTGTTTCCCACTCAACTTTACTATTTTTCAGAGAATTGAAGGGCGTCAAATCAGCAAATCATTAAGTATGTTTGGACAGTCTATATCTGGACAAATTGATGCAGATAATAATGGATATGTAGGTGAGTATAAAATTTACCATATTTTATAAATTGAAATAAACTGTTGTGGATGCTGCTTTATTGTGAAGTACATAAAAGTGGTAGAGAAAAGTTCTAATTTACTAATGAGTTTTTTCCTTCATTTTTAAAGCTCTTTTGAATTCAAGGATGGGTCAGAAATAAGTAATTCTTGAGCTTTAAACTGTTAGTTACTTAGCACTTTATTCCTTGTTCCGGAAAAAAGTTAAAGCATTCATGAAAATAAATCAGACACACAATGATGAAAAGAAAGAGGGGTTTCTTTGGTAATTTAAAAAGAGATTTCTGGGTGAATGTTTATAGTCCAAAAATTGAATCTTGTTTCAGCAAGGCTGTCTTTATATCATATGTTTATATCCTGATGTTTATATTTATACTGTAAAGGGATGAATGTCATTGTAAATGAGCAGATTCAGACATATGTGAAATGAATCTTAAGATGTAAGCGTACCTCTTCTAATTAATTTTCTGTAAATAGTGTTTTGATATAGTCGAAAGGTGATATGTAGTTAAGTATTTACGGCTGAAAGTAATTCTCTTTGACTAATGATGATCATTAATCTGTGTTGTTTTTTATCCTCCAGATGTAGCAGTTGGTGCTTTTCGGTCCGATTCTGCTGTGCTGCTAAGGTAAGGTTGATACATTTCACTGCCTAATGACAGTTGGGCTTAATTTAAATAATGGGAGGCAGTTTTCAAAATCAGCAGGGTGGTGACCTCATAACACTCCTTTTGATACTCTGAAATTTAATTATTGAACTTTAGGATATTTTTCCCACCTTACCTAGATATATACATAAATCATCAAAGTCAATACTTTTAGAAGTTTAAATGAAAATTTCTTTTGATTCATACATGGAAATGTAATTGGGTATATATACACATATTATTAAACAGTTTCATGAAATTACTTGATCAGTGGAAACTGACAAAACAAATGTAACTGTCATCTTAAGGAAAAATAATTCTGCAATTAATATTGCTAATTTTATTTCCTTCTTAGGACGAGACCTGTAGTGATTGTCGAAGCTTCTTTAAACCATCCTGAGTCAGTAAATAGAACAAATTTTAACTGTATTGAAAATGAATTGCCTTCTGTGTGCATGGATCTAACACTCTGTTTCTCATATAAGGGCAAAGAGGTTCCAGGTTATATCGGTAAGGGTGCCCTTAACAAATTAATGCCTGATAGAATGTGCACTTCCCTCATAAATCTCTTGGTCATCTTTCGAGCTCTCTCTGTATTTCACCATGGAGGGGTTTTTAGGGCAGGAGAGAGCAGCCGCCTGATAACCTTTCCTCTTCATCTTCCGGATTCTCGCTTTGTTCTAACCAATGAGTTGGACACATTAAGGCTCTAGTTGTTTAGAGATTATGGCAGGAAGTAGAGCAAGAGTATCACTTGCTATGTCATTTAAGGTAAACTAATTGAGCTTAATCTGTAAGATCTCTTTAGAATAAAAAGAACATCACCACAGCTCCTCCTGTTTTACTAGGCTCACTGAAGTCTTGAGCTGACTTAAGTTGGAGGCCTGAGAGGGGGAAGATTCTTTTTTTCTTATTCTGTCCTCTTTGAGTAATTGAAGAAGCTTATCTGGAGTCTAGACCCTGATTCTAATTTCCATAAAACACACATCTCTTAAGGATTTACTATGACTGTCGGCTCCTAAGAGCCATGCCCATTTGCCTGTACATAGGCAACTCTCAGTGATCTGCTCTGGAGAAAGTATCTTTGATATGGCTCATCCAACATTGTGGTTAATCTCAATGTATATGTGACTTCATAATCATTACATTTTTTTCTGGCAGGTTAATGTTCCTAATTATGTTATATTTAAGCTAATATTAGAATAACTACTAATGAAAGTAGCCCATGGTAGAAGAAAAGCATAACGGAGTTTACCATTTGGACATTAATAATTCATATATTTCCTGAGCCCCGCAAGGCCTATCAAGAGTTGTTTGTTCCCATGACCCTGCCGGGTGTCATCTAAACATCATGAAGGATAGCAGATACTTATTGAACCAAGCTATAGATAGGTAGCAGAGGCCTCAGTCTGAATTAGCGTGTAATAAGAAGTAGAGAATGAGCCTGGTATTTCTATTTTAGATCAGATTCATTTTTTGTAAATTTTAATTTTATTGGAGTATAGTTGATATACAATGTTGTATTAGTTTCACGTGTACAGCAAAATGATTCAGTTATGCATACATGTATATTCATTCTTTTTTAGATTCTTTTCTTACAGATATCATAGATAAGATTCATTTTCAATGCTACTCTGCAGAAGTCCTCATTAAAGATGCAGTGATAGGCCAGTGGGCAAAACCTTCATCCGGTTACTGATTGAAGAAGTAGCAGTTGGAGAGCATGACCCTAGTAATACAGTGACACAGACAAGCTGATGATCATCTGAGAGACACATGTTAAATAGAGAGAACTGTTTCCCTTTATGGAAAATCAGTATTTGTCGTACTACCGATTCCATTGTGACCAAATATTTCTTTAAATGATTGAAAACAAATATATGAAAATCATAAATAATCATAGCATTGTTACAAAACATGCTTTATAGTTGTCATAAAGTGACTCCTTGGGAGACATAATTCACATAGTAAGCATATTTAATAAAACCAGGACATTTTGCCACTTACTGTGAACGGATTTTTATTTCCCTTGTTTCATGTGCTCTTGTCTGAGCTCAGAGTGATGAATTTGTAGATGGCTATGTCAGTTGCAACTCTATCTCTGAGGCATTGAACCTCAGTTATAGTAATTTTGAAGCCAATTGATTTGGACTTTATTTTCTAAATAAAAGGAAGGTTGAAAGATTTATTTGAAGTTTGTAGGAGTGATGTAGGTTTTATACTTATGTTTCCTTGAAGTAGATAAAATCCTTCCAGAAGAGTAAGATACTCCTAAAATGTAAATGAACACTTGAGGAATAATATAAATTATTTTAAATATCACTTATGAATTATTTCTCCTATATAATGAATGATCTCTCAGTGGACTACTAGATGTAGCTTGTTTTGCAAAGAAGGCTTTTATTTTTCAATTTTTTAAATTGAGGTATAACTGACGAACAACGTTATATTAGTTTCAGGTATAAAACATGAGATGATTCAATATCTGTGTATATTGTGAAATAATCACCAAAATAAGTCTAGTTAACATCCATCGTCATACGTAGTTGTAAATATTTTTTTCTTGTGATAAGAAATTTTAAGATCCTCTCTCTTAGCACCTTTCAAGTGTGCAATACAGTATGATTAACTGTTGTCACCATGCTGTACATTACATCCCCATGACTTTTTTTTGTAGCTAGAACTTTGTACCTTTTGATCCCGTCAGCCATCCCCCACCCCTCACCTCTGAAAACCACCAGTCTGACAAAGAACCCTTTTATATTCAAGAAATAGCTCTTTCTTTCTTGGTAAGATCCGTCTTGGAATTTTTTTTGGTTGTTGTAAATTTTCTTTAATTTTTTGGTTATTGAAGATCTTCTTTAGCACATCATTTACCATGTCAGATTTGAAATAAGTTCTTACCAAACTGCCAGAATATTTATTGAGAGAATGTCTGTATATATTTGTTTATCTTTGCATAAATCAACACTGGAAGATCCAACCACAAACCAATAAAAACAAGGAAGGGAGATAATCAGGGTCTAGGGCTGGAAAGGAGATGTCTGTGAGTCAGCTGTTTATGTAGGTTTGACTTTTAAACCATGTGTTCACTTCACGTTAAAAAAAAAAAACATCAAAAGAAAAATAGCAACCCCTCAAATTGGAAACAAATGGAAATAAATGAACCCAACCATATATGAAATTAGTTCTGTAACCACACAAGATAAAATTATTACAAGTGACATTTGGGTGCCTGTACTTCCTCAGTCAGACGTTCTACGGACAAAAGGACTCGAAGAAATCTGAAACTTTACTCGAGACTTTTATTATTAGTAACAACTTTGGTAGTGTAGCTGTGAAATGTTTATATGTAGGAGGATTAAGCAAATAACTAAAGATGTTAATTTTAAAAGTAGAAACCTAGAGAAAAGTTTATAATTCTTTTTTTTTAATTTATAAAAATAATTTTTGAAATGTGTATTTTAAGTTTTTCCCCCTTTCATATTTCAGGTTAGTTTTTAGAAAGTTCTTTAATGAAGAGAATTTAATATACTTCCAGTATTCTATATAACTTTGACTATTATCACTTTAAAAATAAAAAAAATGCCTTTAGATAATTATACTAATTGCAATTCTCTCTACATTTTTGCAGTTTTGTTTTATAACATGAGCCTGGATGTGAACCGAAAGGCAGAGTCTCCATCGAGATTTTACTTTTCTTCCAATGGAACTTCTGATGTGATTACAGGAAGCATAAAAGTATCAAGTAGAGTGGCTAACTGTAAAACACATCAAGCATTTATGCGGGTAATGTAAACTTGTTTTTATTAACAGATACGTAAACTTCAATATTATCAATACACTTAAATCTTCTTGCATTGGTATCTTTTATAAAACACAGTGAAAAGCAAGTATTACTTGAACTAGCTGATCTATTGTTCCAGTGTCAAAATGTTAGAGGATCCTGTGACAGACCTAGATAATTCAAACTCTACTTTTTGCTTCTTCCTTATTTCACATTTATCAAATTTTACCACGTCACTGTTTTTTAAAGATTTGCCTTTTCCTCTTCACAATTGCTATTGTCCCTCTCTGTTTATGCACTTGCCTAAAAATGTAAATGTCAGTAGCTCTGCTGAGCTCCAGATCTATTCCTGGTAGATATTGGAGGGTGGGGGGAGGCAGGGAAGTTGGTTTATTTTTCATGTGACTTTAAAAAGCAGAATCCAACGTGACTGCTTTTGCATCGTGCCTTTGTCTCTATGCCAGCATTGTTGGTGATGTCAGTGGGAACTTGCACAGTTGTAGCATGATGGGGATCATCTGTGGGCCAGGATGATGCTTCTCATGATGGTTTGGGGTATATCCTGCCAAAGCACAGCCAGTTTCATGTTTCTTTTATTAAAACACTCATTCCCAAACTGATCATCACGTTCCTTGCATTGATCACATTTTATCGTATGAAGCAGTGCCAGGTCTTTTTCATTAGGGAATGGTGTGCTTCATCAGAAAAACTACTGTCACAAAAAAGCCAAACTATTCCCAGGAGCCTTTTCTGGGATTTCAAATAGTAGCCTCAGTTTAGAACTTAATTTTTCCTTAGATACTTATTCCAAGCAAATGCAAACAAGCATGAGGACTATTAAATGCTAACAGCAATAATCCCTATGCTATTTCCTCATTTCCCTTAACAGTTTTTATTGTTGTACTAGAGTAAAGCTATTAGATGGTTGAAAGCCAAAAGTATAGAATGATATTAGTGCAACCATCATTGATGTGGTGGGGATTAAAGAGGGTTTTTTCTTTTTAATCCTACATAGTTGATTTTACTTAGGTTAATCAATTTTAGAGACTAACACTGAGACCATTTTAAAGGGCAATAAAAGGACCAACATCAGGCATTGACAGACATATTGTGTTGAATCCGTATAAATGGCAGGAAATTGATCTGATTTATTTAGTCCGTTTCTTGACATTGTCCCTATGACTAAGGGTTCATCAAAATTGTGCACTTTCTTCAGAATAGATTTGTACCAGAAATGACAATTTAGCAGAGGTTTCTGTGTTAGTTGCATATATACTTGTCACTACCATGGTAACACAACAACAGCAGGGTACAGCCATGACTTTGGGCCATACTGTCAATGTCAAAAAAAAGCACTTAGCTCTGGGATTGGTACATAGAGGGAATGTTTTTGAAAAAGTGATTGTTTCTTCCAATATTTTTTTTCCTTCCTAACTTACCTTGCTTTTGTTTGGGACGTTTTAAAACTCATACATAGAAAGGCAAAAGGCTACTCCAACACTCTCCCTTGCAATAAATCCAAAGGCAGGTGTAAGAACCACAGAAACAGCTGCCCTAACCTTGAGTTTTGTCAAGGACCCCTCGCTGTTATTTAGGAGGAGATGAAAATATAATGAGTGCATTTCCCACCCCCACCAGCATGGTACCCGAGGCTTTCGGAAACATTAACCGGATTGTTCCTTTGTTCTGTAAAGCGCGTCCAGAGTCAGGAGTGTTAATATACATGTGCATTCTACCTCAGTGCCCCTTACAGTGAAATAGGGTGACACTCGTTAATTATGTGCTCAGGGCCACAGCCCCCACCTCTCAGAGGACTCCCTGCCTGCTAGTTGGGCATGCTTTCTTTGCAGAGCTCCTGTTGGCTGTACCAATTAAGTTCCACTTCTTCCAGTTAATAGATATTGAGTACCTATGTAGTGTCCGGTTCTGTTTGAGACACTTATATAGGTCAGTGACTGAAACAAAAAGATTACCACCCTCATAGAGTTTATAGTCTAGTGTGGTGAGATAAACAATGGCACAAAATGTAACAATACACAGTAGTAACAAATAGTAACACAATAGCACAGTGGTAACAAAATGTAAATTTTATAGTATTTTAGAGCAGCAGACCCCAACCTTTTTGGCACCAGGGACTGGTTTCATGGAAGACAGTTTTTCCACTGGTTGGGGGGATGGTTCAGGAGGTAGTGTGAGCGATGGGGAGCAATGGGGCGTGGCAGATGAAGCTTCTCTCGCTCACCCGCCACTCACCTTCTGCTGTGCACCCCGGTTCCTAACAGGCCACAGACCGGTATCGGTCCATGGCCCGGGGATTGGGAACCCCTGTTTTAGAGGATTATATGGGTGATGGAAAAAGGAAAGGAGAGCAGAGCACAGGAAATTATAGGGTGCTGGGGAAGGAGTGAAGAATGCAATTTTAAATAGGGTGGGCAGAGTGGGCCTCATTCAGAAGGTGACATCTGAGCAAAGACTTGAAGGAAGCTAAGAAGTTACCATGTAGATGTCTGGGGCAGTGGTCTGCAACTTTAGCATGCAACAGCATTACCTGGGGGGCTTGTTGAAACACAGATTGCTGGGCCCCACCTAGAGTTCTTGATTCAATACGTCTTTAACAAGGCCTGAGAATTTGCTTTTCTACAAAGTCCCCAGGTGATGCTGATGCTGCCAGCTTGAGAGCTGTGCTTTGAGAACCCCTGATTCAGGAGAACATTACTGAAAGAAGAGCTAGGTAAAAAAACATCAGGAAAAGAGTGAGCCTGGTTGTTTTAGGAAACCATGAGGAGGCAAGGATGGCTGGAAGAGTGAGCAAGGGGGAGAGCAGTAGAAAAAGAGTCAAATCGCATAAAACCCTGTGACTTTTTCTCCAAGTGACGTGGGGATCTATTGTAGAGTTTGGGGCAGATAATTGACATGATCTGACTGAGTAATAAAAAGGAATACTCTAACTGCTATGTTGAGACTACACAGTAGGCGACCACAGGTTGACACAGGAAGAAGAGGACACTGCAATAAGCCAGGTGAGAGATGATGGCTCCAACGAAGGTGGTAGCAGTGGATCTGCTGAGAAGTAGTAGAAGACAGATTCTACAAAATTCACTGACAGATTGGATGTCTAGCATTTGAGAAAGAAAGGCTCCAAGATGACTCCAAAGTCATTAGCCCAAGCAACTAGAAGAATACACTTTTCATCAATAGGGCAAGGGAAACAACTTTTGGGTGTAAAATGTTGGAGTTCAGTTGTGGACCTGCCGAGCTGGAGAGACCTCTTTTACTTTTTAGTGTAAACAGCAATTAATCATTTGTATTGTATGTACTCATCTGGAACTGGAGAGGGGCATGGAACTGGAAATAGAACAATGCATCTTTGGCATATGAATGGCTTTGAAAGTCATATGAGGTGGCTGAGATCATCACAGGAGGAAAAAAGAGCTAAGGTCTGCACTCTGGACCCTACAACATGAAGCGGTTAGAGAGAAGAGAAGGCTTACAAAGGAGATGAGAAGGACTAATCAGTAAGGAAGAAAAACAGGAGCTTGTGGCATCCCGGAAGTGAAGTGAATAAAGCAGGGCAAGGAGAAAGGCATGACAGTGTTTTCAGTGCTTTCCTCTTGGTTGAAGAAGATGAGGGCTAAGAACTCACCATTGGGTTTAGCAATGTAGAAGCTATTGGTGGTCATGACAACAGCAGTTCAGAGGAAAAGGAGGAGAGGCACTGGAGGCAGAGTGTAGCTTATTCTTTCACGGATTTTTGCTCCAAGGGGAGCTAAGGAAAAGGGGTGGGGAGTCAGTAGCTGACAAGAGAAGTGGAGAGACTTTTTCTTTCTTTTAAGATGGGAGGAATAGCGTGCTTTTATGCTGATGGGTGTGTTCCAATAGAGTAAATGAGATAGATAAGAGGAAAGAATCGTCAGCGCAAAGAGGGCAAAAAGGGTGGGATTAATTGTACCGATGGAAGGATTGATTCTAGATAGGCACGTGCATAGTTCATTTGTTTATGTGCTTGCAGATGCTGGGCAGATGTGGTTGAGAGGACTGGAAGTTCTCTTCTGATTGCTTTATTATCAGCGAAGTAAGAAGCAAAGGCATTAGCTTCCATCGGAATGGGAGAAGTGGTGTTTAGAGTTCGGGAAGAAGACGTGAATTAGTCTTCTAGGAGAATGGGACAGTGAGAAAGTACAGTGTGGTCCTGAGATGGAGTTAGGCTCTAAGTTGCATCAGAAAGTGAGACGAGGGCTTCCCTGGTGGCGCAGTGCTTGAGAGTCCGCCTGCCGATGCAGGAGACGCGGGTTCGTGCCCCGTTTCGGGAAGATCCCACATGCCGCGGAGCGGCTGGGCCCGTGAGCCATGGCCGCTGGGCCTGCGCGTCCGGAGCCTGTGCTCCGCAAATGGGAGAGGCCGCGACAGTGAGAGGCCCGCATGCTTCGCAAGGGGAGAGGCCACAACAGTGAGAGGCCAGCGTACCGCAAAAAAAAAAAAAAAAGAAAGTGAGACGAGTCAGTATGGTTGTGGTTTTTTCCAGTCATGTTCAACCTTACGGGTGGGAGTAGATGAAGAGTTATAATCAACCATGGCTGTGGTCTGCCAATAGAGTGAAGCAAAGAAGGAACACACGAGAGAGCCGAGGAGTATGCAAGGGAGTGGTTATATTTTTGGCCATGAAGATTAAGCAGGGTAGGGAGAGGAGAGAGGACAGCAAGAGGGTGTGTGAGGGACAGGGGAACAAAGTTGAATTGGAGGTCCCAGTGGGAGCAGCACATTGTTGGACTTGAGTATTAAAGAGAATGAGCCAGAAAGATTTCATCAGTATGACAACATGTTAGAGCCACTGGGGACCTGAAGGTGAGAAAAAGAATTGAATTTTATTTTTATTCTTGCTCACAATCCCTTGATGATCTCACATAAATGAAAGTCTTGAAACCTACTTATATTTAAAAAACCCATCACAGTCTTTGATAGTAGAGAATTTGGCTATTTTAGAAAATCCAGATCTTCTCATAAA